ATTCCGTTAGTTTTTCCGTTAAACCAAGAAATTCCGTTAGTTTTTCCGTTAAACCAACAAATTCCGTTAGATAGGCACTTTTTATATAGAAAGATATATATTCATTTTAACGTTTTAATCTATAAATATTTTTGTAATTCTTATTTCATCATTTTATTTCTAGGGCGTCACATAGCAATTAAGAACATGCTGGGAAAAAATAAATTATAAATTCCTTATAATTTGAAGTTAAAATCAAATATTAATTTTAACCGCACATTCACAATTACAACTCACTTATTAACCAAAAATTTCATGAGACATTATATTCGATTTCATTATAATCTCATTATAATTTATTTTTCAAATAAGCAATAAGTGGAAAATCAGTTATAATATGACGGGAAACTAAGCAATTACCGTAAGTTTAATGGATGAGAGGTGAGGGAGGCAGTGAGTTTTGAAAGTAAATCGAATTTCAATGACCCAATTACGATTTCGCTAAAATTTCTATGACTGAATGAAATTTACCCATGTCAAACAAGAACATCCAAATACATAAAGACACGACATCGTCTCAATAAAACAAACATCATTGCCATCTTTATATACATTTTGTGCCATTCCATATTTTCAGTTCTATATAAACAACTAAAAGATCATAAACTCAGAAACGACGTGAAAACATCACACGGGAGAAGAATTTTATCGAGTAAATGAAGCGTCCATCATCAAGGGATCATCATCATCATATAATGAGGGAAGAAGCCAATTGAAGAAGCTAAGTTTGGTTTGTTTCTTCAGTTTCAGCCTAGAATACTCGATCAACATTTCCCAGAGTTCTCCCACAGTCCATTGTTGGGATATAATCCATTGTGCTACCTTGTCAAGTTTCCTCAAGGTCTCCAAACCGGATGTGTAATATAAGACGAAAGGTCTTAGTGCTTGAGACGCCGCTAGCCACTGAATTATGGTTTTGACTTCAGGATCTCCCCCAAAAGCACCACAGCCCCAATTCCCTGTCGCAATACCAACATTATCAACATCCCAATTCGGCTCATTGTCCCTCATTGGCAGGGTATTAGAAGTTTCATTGATTGATTGAAATGAAGTCAAAAGATTTCTCGTGGAACTTCCAAGAGGGTTTCTAATGCCTTCTTCAAACTCAGCCTCCAAAAATCCAGTGTCTACAAACAGATTTTCATATTGCTGTCTTTTGGATTGATCATAAAAGCCACAGAATGCCTTGTTAGTCTCTCGGAGAAGGCATTCCGGAGTGTACTGTCTCTTACCGACACGGGACAGTGCGTCTATTGCGATTATCCTTGTCTTACGCCTTCCCATTGAATCAGCACCCTTGACGTCCTTGTAGCCGGCATAAAAACAGAATGAAGAAGCATATCCAGAGTAATTGGAGAATCTCTGCGTACCAATAATTTCAATAGCCTCATTATCTGCCATTGCAGGCGAGAAAAGCATGCCAACAATCAATTCTGGATTGATCATAAAACGAATCTCTTCCTGTACACAGCCCTGGCGAAGAGCACCACCTCCTATGCATTTATTTGCAAAATCTACTTCAAGAGCTTCAGCGGGTTGATCTTCAATCGAACCAGAGCTGTGAACCTGCCAAACAAAAAGGGAAAAAGAAATCGAACTATATTAAGTACCAAGCATGGGACATACCAGATGCATTTGCAAAGTCTTAGAAGTTTATTTCTTAAAACTTACTCACAAAATAAGCTATAAAATTAAATGTAACATAGCAGTTCCTGATGTGCGTGGGGGATTGTTATAGATAAACAGACCGAAAACTCAAATGCAAGCAGGTGATTCTTTAAGAGTTAAATATTGCTAATATTTTCAAAATTCATTTTTGAAAATCATACAACCTGGCTGATTAGAGACAATATTCTATTTCTGTATCCCAAATAATAATGAATACATATTTTGTCATTATTTCAATACGAATATTAATATATGCACATGCTGGTTCAACCACAGAACCATTTGAGCCACCAGCTGGACCAGTATCTCCCTCGCCCTTGACTGGTTTGATCTCCAAGGACCAGACTGGATAAGTACAACAGCCATGTCCAATAAGGCTATGGATTGCTCTAAACGAGAACTTGAACTTCAAAGTGAAATAAACTCAAACCACTAGATAAATATTGATTAATCGTTCATACCTCCAAATGGCAAAGGGAGACGCTAGACTTGCTCCAAAAATTAGCCTTAGGGAAAGAAATGTGGGATGGGCTATTTGTCAGTGGAAGAACTTTTCGTTCAAAAGAGACATTTCCCATAGGCATATGTGAGCATATCTCCTCAAAATAGTGAACAATGCATTTTATCTTATTTTCCTGTTTCACATCATGGGAGTCATAGAAGCACCTGAAAACACAGAGGTCAGATGAATCTGTTCTGCTTCAAAAAAAAAAAGGAGAACTCCAATAAAGAAAATTGGGAAAATACTGTTTTTGTTATGGGGACATTCCATAACTAACAAATGGCCCCCAGAAGAAATTAGCGACTAGATTACCCTCCTGCTCACAGCTCATATTATCTCAATCGAACAGTAAAATAGTTCAACAATCTTCAAGAAAAACAGAAGGGGGAAGACCAAGGGTGGTATGTCAAATGATTGCTTGCCTCCAGATAAACTATGAAATGAAAGAAAAAAGAATAAAACCCATAGAAGGCATCTTATCTATATTAGTATGTTCTAATTTGTGTAGTAACTTAACTCTAACCTGTGTTACATTGAGACATTATGAATGGACAGGCTAATGCACCTTGAGAACTTTCACGAAAACAATCAGTAAAATTAGCATATATACGTGTGCATGTTTGTACTGGCACTTTGCAGTGGGTTCCCATACATACATACATACATATATAATTTCGCATAGTTAAAAGATTTATAAGCCTGTTCATGATGTTTTCTTTCTGTGTCATGCAATGCATTGTTTTTCTCGAAACTACTATATAAAACGTAGCACGTGCAATGAAATGTCGATCTAAGGTCCTCTACACACAACACAACAGTTGAGGCCATGAGGTAACTATATGGGAATCAGGACAGTTCTTTTTTGCTAAATATTTATCAACAGCTGTCAGTATAGATGCAAAAGACAACAATTAAGAAAAAGATACACATCGGGCAGGTGGATGAAAACATACGCAAATAAATTATCAAAGTTGACTGCTCGAAGATGCTTGGCCCCTCTATCTGTGGTTGGAAACAAGCAAAAGAAAGAGCAAACCAGAAGAGCAGCAATCAATTCCTGAAATAAATAAAAGCACTCACGATCAGAATTCATAATATCAGAATGCAATTCATATTCAATTGAGAAGAATATACTGTTAAACTTTAAGAGGGAAAAAGGATGCTTCAATGCATGAAGTGAAAAATGGCAAGGGATTATTTAGTGCACAATGTTTGTTTCATTCCACTCTTCTTTATGTTTTCCAAGTGATAGCAGTAAACAACTGGATTAAGTTATTCGTGGAAAAGTTGAAGTTACAACCAATTGAAATCCCTTTAACAAGAGTAATTCACATTGGAAATGGAAAACAACATAATAAAACAACATGCAGCAGTCATTTAAAGCAAGGTTTGCGCAAGCTGAATAGAGATGAATGGCTTCTCATTTACTTCTTTTATTTTTTTATCATAAGATCATGTTTCACTGACGCTTAGTAATTCTCCGAATGGTGGTAACTTGGAAACCCACTGTAGTGGGTATAATTTTAATGCAATAAGGATTGATCTGAAAGCCCAATTATCAAATACACAAAGCTACCAATTGGCCCATACCCATGACCCTTGTTTAAGGCCCAGAACCTTTAAATTGGTATAAGCCATCCCTTTGAACCCACTAGGACCACCTTGTGCTTTCACTCAATCAACTGACTAAACAAGAGCCAAATGAAGACTGAAAGGGCACAGCTGACAGCTAAGTGAAGACTGAGGGACAGTTTTCTCCGAGACACAGCTCGGCACTCTACTGAGACTTCTTTATGGTTTCATATCCTGGGTGCAGGCACTAAAGCAGTGGAGATCCAAACTTAAGCAGGGGAAGACTTGTCCAATCACGGTTAACCCGAAAATTACATGAGTGCCTACCCCCGGTGCACCACTCCCAGTCCCCCACCCATTTGCTAGTATAGATTCACAAAGGATAATATATCACAATTATGGCACAATCATATTGCAATCACGAAAGTAAAACCAAAGTTTAAACATTATTTTGATTCATCCCTCTCTTTCCCTACTTGATCTGGCATTATGGATATCTTCAGTTATTTTTTCAGAAAAAATTAACTGATTGCATACTTCTTTCAGATTTTCTAAGTTTACAAATTGCAATTATAAAAATTCACCACTAAAACAACACTGCCAGCACAAAAACAAAAAAAGTACACTTTCACAACACCATGAAGAAATACAATTGAAATTTCAAGAACCCAAGATGAACCAATGAAGAACACAGTCAAAGCTACTGCAAAAAACACTTTGAGCAATTCATAGAGTTAGTACATCTGATTTTGCAAGATAAAGGTAAAATGGGCTTCAAAATTAGTAAAAGATTAGCACAAAGTTAAGATTTTAAAATCTATATGTTGAAATTGTAAAGAAAAATTCCGATGCAATGTCAGATTGTAAATGCAATTGTGTATCCAAATAATTCCAATATGAACTGGATAGTGGTAATTTCATCACCTGGTAGGAAATTTTAACAACTTATTTTGAATTAAGTCAAGGACAAATAGCAGTTCAAATTTCATGAACCAGAGAATAACCAAATCAAACACAGCCAAAGCTGACTGCAAAGAACATTTTAAGCAATACACAGAGAAAGTGCCTCAGATGTGACAATGCAAAGGTAAAATGGTTTTAGTTTTTTAAAAGTTAGGAGAAATCTAACGACTTTGAAATCCAGAACAGTCATCTTCAAAATGGAAAGAAATTCCAATGCAATTTGACCAAGCAATTGCGTCATCCAAATTTGAATTCAGAAATAAAGTGGAAAGTGGTATAATTTTGTCACCTAGAAGGTAACAACTCATTTTCAAAAGACAAATAGAATACTTGACTTTAAATCAGCTGAGGATAAACCAAAGTGGGGTTGACATTCAGACTTTGATAACATCATCTACTAATATAATCATCAATAATTCAAAGTTCCAAAAGTTTAAGGAAAACAAGTAACAAGTAAAAGTGGGGAACATGAATACTGCATTACTCAACCTGAAATGTCAGGTGATGCTAAAGTAAATGCATTAGCATTAGAAATAATCTATACGTAGTCAAGCTTAAAAACTGTTGTACAAGTTTACCTGACTGAGAAACACAATACCCTGCTTTTGTGATTCCAGTAACCGAAGACCAGTTTCCATTCCATTGAAACAAACTGTGTTTTGATAATGTGTCTCCAACAAATCTGGTAATCTCAATAGCAAATCTGCCAGTTGTGGGACCACCTCTCCAAACCACTTCTCAGACTCATCCCTTCCCATCAACTAAAATCAAACCAAACAAATAAAATGTGCATATAAAATACAAAAATGAGGCAATCACTTTTACTACTTCAGTCGAACCCGTTAGAACAATACAAGATGTCAAGAACAAAAGCTAAGGCTTATTCAAAATAAACTTAGGGGTCAGTTATATGCATCCCTTTTGCCATTCCATAAGATCTAGAGCCATCTTTTGCAACAACTTCAAGTCATGGCAATTTTGGTATACTATTCTCTCTTATCAGAAGTGTATCACTCTTGCAAATAGGAGCTTTTTTAGGTCTAATCAAAGTCATGGCCCAACAACCTCCACTTGTTGGCCCACATTTCTATTTCTTATATTATATTTCTAGTGTGGCCTTAATGTCCTGACTTTTATGATGCTCATTTAATGGACAATTTCCGGATGCTTGTAAACTCATTACGTACTCGCATTCAATACATATCCAAGCTTGGATACTCTTGATACCCTCCAATGCATACCGAATACATGTTTTTTAATATTTTTTAATTTTTTAATACGTATCAGATACATGTTTATTAGTTATTTTATTTTTTATTTTTATTTTTGATACGTATCCGATACTTTAAGACACTTGAAGAAGTATTATTGGTGAGTTTGATTCTATCACTAATTAGTATAATACGGATTCAAAAACCTGGTGGCTACTTCAGTGTTCACATGTATCTTTGCGTTAAAGTATTAATTTGAATCTTGTGCAATCCTCTTCTTCATCTTATGCTGAAAGAAATTGGAGTATGTATTTTTTGTGCACTCTATGAGAAGGAATAAAATAACTCTACGACGAGCTAGAGAATTGATTTTTATTCATTGCAATCTGCGTCTTTTATCAAGAAAATTAGATCTCTATTCGAAAGGAGAATCTAAAATGTGGGGTGTAGGATTTTGGGGCTCCAATATCCAAGTTCCCGGGCTCAGAAAAACCAATCGAACACCACACTACTTCAAGCTCGACCCAAAACCTTCATCCACTTGGTTGCTCCAAGATTTCATCCACAAAGGATCATGGTGGTGGTGGTTAGCAAGTCCACATAGGAAGGAAGAAGAAGAGGGTAACAATGGTAAGAGTCTCACCAAGAAAAACTCTCAAACCCGGCTGCCTCTCTCGTTTCTCTCGGCTGCCCCCCTCTCTCTCACGCTCCTCTCTTGCACCAACACACACACTAGATTACACAAGAGAGATGGATGTATATTGGGTTACACAATTGGGCCAAAAAGGATGGGCCAACTTAAGGTTTAAAAAGGCGAAACTAAATATTGAGGCGATTTTTCTTTATGAGGCGAGGCGTAAGCCTCGAGACGTATTAAGGCTTAAGCCTCACAAAAAACAAAAAATCTAAATAAAATAATTATAAAATAATACAAAAAAATCAAAGTTGAAACATATAGTAAATAGGATATATAGTCATTAGCATATTAAGATATAGTCCACCTAAAGAAAGAAGATATTTAGCAAACAAAAAAAAAGCATTACAGAAGTTAGAAATCACTCCATTTGCAATAAAAAAAAAGAAGCAACTTAAATTTAAAAAAAAAAGCCTAATAGTCTGCACTGTCATCACTATTACTAGCATCGTTATTGTTTTGTTTGGACCCAAAATGCCTTTTTAAATGGGTCATTTTCTTTTTTAAGGACCCTTTCTGATTTCTTTTCATACAATTGAAAAATCAAATTTTAAATGAAGTGCGCGCCTTGAGGCGTGAGCCTCATATTTTTAGCCTCAAAAATACCACCTCGAGGCATATTACATGCGTCTCACACTGAGGCGCACCTTACTACCACTTTTTTAAACCATGGGCCAACTTAATAATAGGTAAATGGACCTAACCAATAAACCCTATACTAATCAAAAACCACCAATCCATCTCCATCTTGGGCCTTTCAAAAGTATCGGTAGTATTCGTGTCGAACTAAGTCTATGGTGTCAATAAATTACCCGTCAACTATTTTAAATCATTGCCTGAATTTATTGGGTATCAAAAAACTCAACATGGGACATTGTCGAAGACTCATTTGATACTATTAAAGGTGTTGGACTGCTTGATGTTGTTAATCTTAGATGAGTCGGATGGTGTTGTTTTTAATGATAATAAAGAAGTTGATGTTGAAGAAAATGAAGTTGAAAAAACTAAGGATAAAGATAAAATGCCTTAGTATTTTGTTTTATTTTTATTATTATACTTCTGTTTTAATTTTTTATATTAATGAAATTATATTAAATTTTATGACACGTATCCACGTATCCTAATTATTTTTAAAAGTCATATCAATGCACCCGTATCGTATGGTATTCAAATTACGTAGTCGTATTCGTGCTTCTTAGCATTTTCCCTTGACAATTCTTAGTAATTAAGTAACTAGTATAATATCTTCTGTATTAGAACTTCTCTTTTAACTTGGTAAATATATTCCATTTGTCTAAAATCTCCATAGACAGTCATTTTTTTAGATCCAGTAGCATTTTTCACGTTCCTACTATGCATAGCCCCTCACACAATTGAGAAACACATTTGTTTAGTAAATATTTCTATCTCACTTTGAGTTTGAAAGATTCCCACTTTGAAGTCTCGTGTTCGTGTTTCGTGTAGTATAATAACTGTTCGTGCAGGGTAGCATCGAAGTGAAAGTTTGGGAAGTGATTTCATAGCACCCACATCTACTCCCACTTATTATTTCATAACCTACAAATCTTATCATACGAAAATTCACTACATGACCACCCAAAATTAGACACTGTTCATCATAAACGAAAAATTACCAAAATGAAAGGATTAAATAACTGCTTACGTCATCAAAGAAGAAGACATAGCCGTTAGGTGCGGAGGGGTGGAGGTCCGGCAAGCTAAGTGAATTACGAAGGTCGGAAATGGCGATAGCAAGAACTTGACCCGAGTTAACATTACTGTGCAAAGGTCCTCCAGCTAGGGATTTCAGCGCTTCCACCATCGCCGGAGGCCATAATAGTGCAGACGAACGGAGTATTAGTGGTAAATATGGTAAAATTGATTTCAAATCCTCCCTAATTTCAAGAGAATCCATGGTGTTCGACTGGCTGTCTTCCATTGGTGCATCAAGCCTGTGAATTTCTGCAAGTTATCGTATTTTTTACAAGGAATTGTTGACATTTTAAGAACAATTTTTGCATCCAGACTTGGGTTGCACGCTGCGGCGAAGGTATCTCAGTAGTAGCTTCTACTAGTTGTCAAACGTGGAGAATCTACTCAAGGATACAGGATAAATTACAAATTTGCTACTTGAACGTACGCACACACGCCCAGAGGGCTGATACGCACACACGTGAGAGGGACACACTTGTTAAGCACGCGTGAGAAAGCTGTGTACCAAATGGGTAAGTGTAACATTTCTCTTTAAATTATTGCAGTTAAAAAACTGGTAAGTAGACTTTGACGAGTACAAATAAGGATAATATTGCCTAGAAATAAAGTGTATTTGATTGACTATATTTTTCTTAAAAAATGTCATTTTTTACAAAAATTTCTACTTTTGAAGTGTTCGATTGATAATTCTTTCAATGGAAAATATTTTCCGATTTTTGGTCATGTGACCAAATTTTTCACGAAAATAAAGAAAATATTTTCTTTAATGATGGGTGATTTTTATTTTTCAGGTAATTTACTCTCTCTTTCTCATCTGTCTTATCTCTCATCTATCCACCAATAAAAAATGAACAAATATGATATTTTTTAGGTTGAAAATTAAATCGATGAAACACTTTTAATTAATAAGTTTCATGCAAATAAGTTATAAGCAATTAAATAGCTTAGAATTTATTTTATTTTCACGTGGATTCTATGATCGCAATCAAACACACCTTAAATATTAAATTATTGTTTGTACGCTTCATCCCAATCTTTCAGAACATTTACAAATATAACCACAATCAATTTTATTGGCACAATTCATCCCCAACATTTTGAAATTAACAAATTCGTCATTTCCATCCATTTGGTGATTAAGGTAGTGTAAAATAACATATATAACCATCCTCCCTGCTACAATTGTCACCATTTCCACCGTAAGAACAAAGAAAAAGTTGAAAGAAAAAAGGGCAAATTGCACATGGGTGCCAAGCCTTTCATTTTTTTCACCACAGTCCCACGCTTATAGAAAAGGCAAAATAAGGACATTTGGACAAACGATGTAAAAATTCAGGGTAGACCTTCATTTGACCATTATTAATAAGGACAACTTTGTTCCTCCATATTTTCAAATTAAAACAATTAAAATGATTTAAAGAAAAAAGAGAAACAAAAAATCAAAAAATAATTAAAAAAAGTATTAAAAATAACAATAAAAAAAACTTCATGTCTGTAAATTGTAATATTACATTGAGAAAATTTTGTTGGTAATAAAATATAATTGAAAATAATTCAATATATTTTTATTTTATTTTTTGTAATTCTAAAAACAAATATTTTATAAATTATAAATCGAGGGAAATTTCTTAAATGAGTAAAGAAATAAAAATTTACAAAATGAATACTCACTATGAAAAATACAGTTAACGATTGAAATGATAATTACAATCATACCTTATGTGCACGTAATATTATAAACAATTAACGAAACTATAAGAATAAAAAGATATCTCAAATTGACGAACTTCGTCTAATTATTCAAATTTTTTTTTTTTTATTACTTGAAGTTTTTGTGACATCTACAACTTCTCAGTTGGTGGTCACTGATGAAGTCAACTGTGATAACTCTTATCTTTACAATGATTGACAAATACGAAGCACGAAGAATTTAATCTCTGTTCGGAAAGTGTTTATAAATAATTTACATTATAATTTAAACTGTTTATAAAACGATTGCGTCAAGAAATCAAAAAGTTTATTCTAATAGAAAAACGAACACCACGATGCGCAAAAGTAAACAGTAAAATGCAACAACAAAGCATTAGTCTATGTTCAAATCCACACTTATAGACAAGATTCATCACGTTCGACACCGAGCAACACGATATAATAATATGTAGTAAGAGTTGTGCATATACAGAAAACCACGAGTGCACATAGCAGTGAACATGGCGTCTATGGCTGTTGCATTACCACAAATTACCAGAGAAGACGAGCCTAGAACTGCCACGTTGCTTTCGAAGTCACTTATTTAGGCTACACGTGATATATCATACCTACTTCGATCAGGCTAATATGAGGAATATGAAGAGCCACAGCCGGACCCCTGCAATTCTTACGAAGAAATGAGTAACCGATATCAATCACAAATTTCTTCAGGAATGACGATGATCTTCTCGCCTTCACATAAGAGTGCCCTAGTATATAAGCAACGCCAGCTTCTTTTGCCTGGATTAAGTCCAAAAGTTCATCCCTTACCGCAGGATCCATCCCGGGGTTATGTGGTACTTGAAACCTTGCTTGACGCCTTCTAACTTGTGGGTTCTCGTCACCATAGGCAGATCTTAAACGTTGGAGAGTTAGAGATTTACTGCTTTGAACGGAATTGATCGAACCAAAATCCCCCGTCTCTGATACAATTAGAGTTGAATTGGATTGAATACTGCGGGAGCTTATGACTGCCATTCTCCCGTCATATGATGCAGTGTCAGTGCTTGAAAACTGAGGCTCTACAGCTTCCATTTGGATAAACTCTGCTATACTTAATATTAGAAGGTTCTCAAAGTTCTCATCATCTTTCTGCACGTCTTTGTACCCATATCTTACGATGCATCGATACATGCGATAGGGTCTGGGGCCGATGCGGCCAATGAGGAAGCGTTCCTCAGGCGAGACATAGGGCACTGGAACAGATTTTACACAAACAAACACCAAAACGTTATGAAAAGAGGGAAGATTTGTGACGAAATGGGAGAAGACAGCGGGTACTCCTGTTACGAGATCTGAGTATACAAGGCATATCCCAGCCACACGGACAATGCCAAGGCTCGGGCCGAGGCCAAGGATCCATTTCATTGGCACTTTGTTGTATAAATCAAAGTTGTACTTCTTGCGAGTTCCATAGTTCCAAATAAACATGATGAACATGAAGACGAGAGACAGTACAAGGGACACCCATCCTCCATGAGGAACTTTTGTATATGCAGCTAATAGGTAAGCGCCTTCAATGAACCAAAAGAAAAAGAGGAATGCAGCAGCGAGTATAGTACTTCTTTGCCATACAAAGACCATGACAAGTGCCATGAGGAAAGTCGTAATAAACATAACCGACATGCAAGCTAGGCCTGCAAAAAGAAGCTTGAGTGTAAGAAAATGATGGATAAAAAATAAACAGATTTTAGAAGTGTGTTCCAAACAGAATCAAAATTGAAGAAATGCAGAGTTAAAAGGAAAAAAGATATTTGTAAAGGGAATATTCTATAACACAAAAATTGAACCTCTGCATTACTAGTCAGATTGGTCCTTTTACAGTAGAAGTATGAACTATCGTAAGAAATGTGATTTATCTTATATAGTCTGCAGAAAAAGAAGATGGTACCGTTTCTGTCCTTGTAATCATAACCTGCTAATAAGACTCCGTGGTTCCTTCTGTTTGTGATAGCATACGTGCATATCTCATTTTATTTACCAGTCACCATTTCCCGTAATCGAAGACAAATCCTTTTCTCAATTTCTCTTTTATGCAATTTATTTTTCTTGCCTAAACAGTACACAGAAAACAATAATTATCATTATCCAAGTTAATCATCCCCTATGGCAAGAAGGGATCATTTTATGTACGTAATTATCAATCACAAGTATGCATGATTTGAGCAAGCGGAATTTCCAGGAAAGGCTACAGGCGAAATATGAATCTGTTTTTTTTTCCTCAACCTTCATTGGGAGAGAAGAGGAAGGGAGGGGCAGCAACACGGAGCTTGAAATTTTAATCTTCCCTTGTGATGTATTAGAAATTCAAAAGGAGAGAAATTAGCATCAATCAATGAAAATGGCATTTAAAAAGTGATTAAATCTAGATTCATATAGTTTGTAAAGGCAAATATATGAATCTACATATCAGGAGCCTTGATTTATAGAACTTTAAGTTAAGAGCAGAATATATGAGAAGTTGATTTATCAGAAAAGGCAAAAAAAAAAATATTCCTCATATCAGTAAACATAATTGCTCTGTATTTCAATTACTGCAACAGTACTTTATATGTTGAGACTTTCTCAACATAATCACTGCTCACAATAGATACTATTGATATCTTCCAACGATGCTTAAGTGATGTTACATGGTATTTTCAGTAAATTTTATATTATGGTAGTAAATATTAGAACATTACACAATGCATACGAGAGATTTATCGTAAGAATGATTAAAATCGAATAAATGATCTTATTAAGATAAAGAAATGAAAGAATAATTCTATTGAAAATTTATGACTTACCATATGCATTTCCAATTGTAGTTATGTCACGAAACCCAATAGCTATAGCAAGAGTAAGAATCATGAGGATCCAATTAATCTCTGGTATGTAAATCTGTCCACGTATATGTTTTGAGGTGTGCACAACCTTCACACGGGGAAAGCAACCAAGAGCATTACATTGCTTAACAATAGAGAATGTGGCCGAAATGATAGCCTGACTCGCAACAATAGCTGCGAGGGTGGCAATAATGAAGACAGGCCAAAATACTCTATCTGCAAGGAATCCAATATTACGAGGTTAGAAAAAGAAAACCATGATATCAATCTCAACATAGCTGGAAACAAAACTAACCAGGAATCGAATCATAGAAACTATTCGGGATTGAAGAAATATTTTTTGATAGAAAAGCAGCCTGGCCCATATATTGCATTACCAAGCAAGGGTATACAACGAATGCAAATGCAATCTGCACAAACAGAACAGTTTGTAATTATATGTTACTAGATAAACCACAGACAAGATTAGAATGGATTGTTATCTAACACTAACAGGTGTTCTCTCCACCCACAGACGAAGTACAGTCATGCGATTCACAACTCTACAAGATCTAGCAGGATAAAAAAATATATATATATTCTAGGTCTCTAAGCTCATCAATCTAAGTATCACATTCTTACTATCCTAGCATAAAGGAACACACATTACATTCTTATTATGCACATTCACACCTGAATGTTTGCTACAGCTACAAAGATGTGGATTTACCCTTATAGAAAAAGCGCTGAAATGGCCCAAATCTGCAAACATTGCCTCTGTGCCTGATAATCCACAAAATACAGGCATTAGTTTCAAAACTCAAGCAATTTCTCAGTCGTTAAGTTTAAATCATTTAGAAAGAGGCCCATGTCTAAATCTAACAAAAGAAAAAATGACCATAATGTTAACAAGAGACAGCTTCAGAATTTCATTTACCTGTTATTGAAAGGAGGACCCCTCCAAGTGAAATCCATCCATCTATACCAGTTTGACTAAAGAACTTGATGATATAGTGTGGAGAGAGAGCCAACACAATTTTCGGGTTCCAGCGTATTGTATTATAAATCCCAATGGAAAAAATAGATATCAACCAGAGGCAAATGATGGGTGCAAAGAAGAAACCGACCTTCTGGGTTCCAACATGCTGCAAAGCAAATAGGCCGACCAATATGATGCAAGCAATGAATAGTATTTCACCTGCAGATAGAATATTGTATTGATAATCAAGACAATAAATGGGTCTAGAAAAATATAAGTACACAACAGTATTCAAAGCATCTATAACTCGAGCCTAATCAACAAAATACGCAGAACTGTACATACCCTGAGTCAAATTTGTTCCAGCAGCTTCAAGACCAGATACTGATGATAAAACTGCAATAAAATATAGTATACCACGGATGTTAAGGGACTAAACAGAGCTTTTGTAAAAGAACTGAAAGTAATAGCAAATGCACAAAAAGTACATCAATAAGGGGGAGGAAAAAAAACAAAGGATCAATAGCATAACAAACATGACTACTTAAAAATGGTTTTGGGTAAGAGTATTCTCCGTTGAAATGTTTCTGTTGCGTTCTTAATATAAATAACTACTTAAAGTAAGCACCATCATTTCGTCAAATGGGGCGAAAGATTTGGTTCATTTCTCTTCATGCTCAGCCATAGACAATCTAAACATAAACTTCATGACTAGATATTAGCGATATCACAAAATGAACACCCTTGTATAAGTGTCACGTATAAAATGAACATTAACCCCCTATTTGACAACCATTATTTTAAAACACTTTTTTCTACGTACTCATTTTCAGCCACGCATTCACACAATAAAATATTATGCACGTAAACCCAAAACTTTTCCTTACTTTTTAACCACACATTCTCCAAAAATTCTCTATTAAAAACATTGTTTTTATCAAATAATGGCCACCAAACAGGGCTAATATTGTCAAAGCACAATTTAGACTCGAGTAAGGTCATTATAGAAATAAATGGTCTTAAAGTTGTTTAAGTTGGCATAATACTTGACCCACAGTCGATATTGAAACAGTCAATATTGAAGATACATTAAATATCTTTGACCTGATCTCATTTGATTTACATCAACAACGATATTATCATACCTGAAATTGCAGGGGTAATTACACCATCACCTATTACCATACCAGCCCCCAGTAATACTACAAGCAATAGAAGTGTACGCAATTTCTTGTGTTTCTCGAGAAACCTCTTCAATGCTAAAGATGTCGAAGACTGTCCTGAGGGACCATATTTGTAAGCAGACAACTCCTCATCAGCTGCTTGTTGATTGGGAAGTAAACTGAATTTTGCATGTCTACAAAGCAAGGAGTAAAGAGCAAAAGTACCACCTGAGGTGATTGAAAACGGTTGGTCATAACTAGTGGGAAGTAAATATTTATTGGGGAATATTGTACGACAGAGCCGCTTTAGCATACCTTCACCATTATCATCGGCACTCAACAACATAAATACGTATTTCAGCAGAGGAATGAGTGTTAAGGTCCAAAATATTAATGAAAATGCACCAAATATTGCATCAGAAGTTTGATGATTCTGCAACTTCCCAACAAATATGCTTCTATAAACATAAAGAGGTGAAGTGCTCAGATCTCCATATACCACCCCAAAGCTTTGGTATGCTAACACTAGAGCGCTGGGAAGATTCTCCAAACAAAACTGCAAGTTAGCAACTATGTACTTCAGTACACATTGAATTATTAGCACAAATTCATTCAATGTGTACACTCTTTTTTTATGTTTGTTTTCTTTTTCTGTTAAAATGTAGAGTGTATATACTGAAAGCTCTTTTATTTGGCACCCTGCGAGGCCAGACACAGTTTTATAATTTCAGAAAACCAAGAGAATAAAATATATTTAGGGTTCAGAACATTTAGACCAGAAAGCCTCCCGAATACTGAACAATTTTTGCACACCTCGTGCTGAAACTGAGAGACCCTAAGAACCTATAAAATTGGTGACAACGGTTTTAGGCCCTATATCTTGGAGTCATTCCTACGTTATTTTTGGCATACTTGTTTTATGTTATCCTACTATGCTTTCTTTCAGCTTTATAAACTTTTCAGTTGTCACCCAGCTAGTTTCAGCTATATAAAATGTGATTCCTTAAGGAAGCAAATAGAGTAATTCCATACCTTTGAGGTTAACTTTCTTTTGCCCCTATTTGATTCTTGACCCAAACCCAGAGCCCCTGGAGTTGGCAAGTAATTGCTGTCTTCATTGCGGTCCATGTCAATTTGATTCATCTATTTACCTACCGAAATTTTGGTTTATTGATTTCTGTAGGCCCTTCTGAATGCAACTATTGTCAAGAAGCCACCTGAACTGGCATTCCAGCATCCTTAGGAAAAAATGAAGGATTGTGACATTTCCAATGAATTTAAAATCTTCATCCCATAAAAAGGTCAATTTGAGCTACTTATAGCCTTGGAAGAAAATTTTACACAACACAAATAGCCTGGTGCTAATATACACTGCTGGACCGAAGGCATGAAGGTAAGAATATGGTTAAAAACTGCCACCCTTAACGTAATACAACAAAAGAACTTAGAATGGATCAACTTCATATCCATTAATACACAGAAGACATTGAAAAACTAACAGATTGAAGTTAAAGAACCAAGAAAACACTAATAGCATCTTTGCCAGTTGTATGGAGGCCACAAACGGACATAATAGAAGCCTTTCATCTCAGTCATTAAAATAATAAAATCTCTCAAAGAAGGAAAAAAAACACATTAATGGTTATGTCTCAGGTAAGCGCATGTTGGGCTAAGATTAAAGAGTTCACTAATATGTAAAATAGTAAATAAGTCAGTTTAAGAATAAATAATTATTTTGAGTTGAAGTTGGAATAAGTAACTCATTTTGTCAGTAAGGAAAGATTTACTTCATTCAAGTATCATCTGTTTACATAAACATCAGAAAGGTAATAAATCCAAACATGTTTCAAACAAATTAACCTTTTGATTTTCTTTTAAACTTAGCCAAATAAGCTTGTAATCCATACTTTAGTTGACAAAAGAACACGCATATCAACCAGTACTTTTTCAGTTATCCATTTTAGAGCTTTCATAAGCATAAATCCATCAAAATAACAACAAACATATTCCGTAAAATCCAGTGAACGGTGAAAGAACAAAACAAAAATTACCTATTGTGCAGCACAAAAAACCAGAATTGAATAATTACCATTTCAGATCATAAAATCCAGCTTTAGTGACATATATATATCCAGTTAACAGCAAGAAAAACAAATATTTGCCATTCATCGAAATTATATATACGAGAGCGTTTCAGTATGAATCCAGTTTACGGTAGAAACAAAGTCAACCATTTATTAGCTCAAAATGAAACAAACAAATCTCGTTCCACATCATAAAGTAGAAAAAGGTAATTACCTTTACATGCCCGAACAGAAATTGGAACCTATAGTAATCAAAATGAAAAAAAAATAAAAAAAAATCAAATTCAATTTAACATATAATACGCATACCTGTGAAATACGAATACGCAGAGAAAATAAAAATTCTAAATCCTAATATATTAGTGAATTGGAAAAAAAATAAAAAAATCCGACCTTTTCACCTCCATCAGTAATGGGGCCGGGAGCTCTAAACGCATCATGTTTAAATTCTTTAATAAACAAGATGCAAACAAATTATTGAATTGCAGACTGGATTTTTTAATATACGCGTGGAGGATTCAAATTTCTTAATCGTTATCTTGGGATAGGTTATGTCACGACCGTATGCAGTGACGCACGTTTTTGTTGGGTTTCTTTGCGGGTCAAATCGAATAAACAATCCAAGTTTATATCAAATTCGATCAAATTATTCAAATAATTAATTACTCGCTCCACTTATATTATGACCACGATTTACTCATCAAACTTCAACCTCAATTGACCTAATATGAAATATATCCACATAAATGGTTCTAATAAAATATTTTGGAATAGAGGAATGATTGCGAGTTCTCGTTTTGTTTAGATAAAAATCATATTTTTAATTATTTTATTAAAGATTTATGAAATATGTGATTTATTTTAAAAATTGTGAATTTCATGAAAAATGTGATCGAAAATGAGTTTGAAAAAAAAAATATTAGAAAATGAAGCCAGACAGGAGCTAAATATATCTTGAGTTGCTACGAAAATGTGATATCTAGCAATCGAAGATAAAAGATTCGTACTAGAAAACATAACTGGGCCTCCGCTTCAACGTCCTTTGCGAATCTTAAAAATAAATTTAAATGTGTATTAACTTACTTATTTAAACGAATTAAGATAATAGTACTTTAATCGAAATTCAAAAAAAAAAAATTAAAAAAAAACCTCAGTGATTAAATTAGAAAAAATAAAATTAAGCCAATTTAAGGGTTGGGATGGTTGTATTATTTATCTTCCGGTCAAATTTGTTATTGTTACAAATCTAAAGACTAGAAGTGTAATTTTACAATATGTCATGTTGGCTTGGTTCCTATTTAACTTAGTTAAATTGAGAAATTTCTTTATTCTTGATCCAAATTGGTACTTTGTGCAATAATTTGTGGATCGAATATGCATTGACTTCCCCTTACATTAGAATCAAAGCAAATTTAAGTAACAAGAAAGAAGATATTACAGGCATACTTCTATGGGGAAGTTTTTCAATTGCAAAAGAATATTCATATCCACATAAAGGATGAGTTTTGATATTTCCAAGATTTAAGGAAAGTATTGAGAGAGAATTTGTTTTGATTAGATAATATAAGATCGGTAAAAAAGATTTGATTTTTAAGAAATGTTCGAAAAGTATTATCAAATATTCAATATGGATCCATGATATCTAGTTTCGTGTGACGGTGTGAGGAACAGATTCTGGCCGGCACTTTTCTTGAACAATCACATAATTTTAGTTTTTCGACGATAGTTTTTTCAAATCCGTTTAGCAAGGCATTTGAAAAGTCAAAAATTGCTTCTAAAATTAAGAATCTACTTTTAAACATGTCATAATAACTTTATGAAAATGCTTTGTTAAAAGAGTTTTTAGATAAAATTGGATCAAGACGACTTCTTTTTCAAAAAGTTCTCATATAAAAAATAGAAACTTTACCAAATGAAACCTTGGATGTTTCATTAGCTTAGTCAACTTTGAAAACAAATTCAAATTGGACGGCCAATTTTATTGTAAGCCCCATTTTGGTTTTGCTAAGAATCACATTTTAGTAGATTTTGATAAAAGTTGATAAATTATATGGTTAAAAATTAATAAAAATCATGGATCTCGTGAAATTGTAAAAAGGCACGAGTGCGGGAAGAACTAAACAATATGCATTGCTACGGTTGCGTGACGTGTAATTTTGAAATCCATTTTCAATGTATACTTATTTTTCATTTAATTTAAACATTGATAACTTACAAAATAAGGATTAATAGAAGAAAACTCCCTAGAAACGTTTTCATTTGCGATATACCCCTACATCTATTGAAAATCGTAGAAACCCCCTATTTGAAACATTTTGTACGAAAAACCCCCTTACCGTCAAATTTGCCGTTAAAAATTGTAAAAATGTTAAAATTAAAAAGTAATAATTACAATTTTAATATTCAAAATTTTTACTTTTTTACAAATTATACCTAATTTTTTTTAATGTACCATCCACGATGTCAAACATTTAAAACTTTATTTTTCACCCCTATCCCACCTCATCTTCTTCCTTAAAACTTCATCTTCATCTTCGTCTTCATCTTCCACCCCACCCCACTATCAGAATTGATATCTCCAGGATAATGATGCAACACACATGTAAATTCTGAAAGTCTAGACAAAAAGTATGCCAGAAGTTGATGATCAGAGCAATTTAGTTAAAGATGTTAGAACTGAAAAGAGAGAGGAAAACAAGAACTCTCACTAACAGAGAGAAAAAAGGCCAACAATCTATCTGTACGATTTTATCTTCTATGACAGTCCCAATTTAGTATAAAATTCGACAAACGGACTCTCCAAGTCTTCCTCGGAAATCCGACTACTCTCGTCACTCTCGCTCTCACTCAGGAAATGATCCTGTACCAACTTGAAAAACCTCATCAACTGATTCTTCTTAGTGAATGACAAACTCCGATCCTTAAATATAGCATTCTAGGAGTCAGGCACGGCACCCAATTTTCCTTCCGCGTCTCTCATGAAACTAGCATCTACGGGTATGAACTCCATATACTGATTTATGCTCATTTTAATGATCAAATCAATCATAGGGTCGGAGCAAAGCAGAACCCGAGGTCCCGTCAAATCGAGGCAGAATTTTCTGGAATTATTGAGGGACTCGGAGGAGTAGGAGTTGATTTCTTGTGATGAGTAGAGGGGGCGAGCAATAAGAGGGACACAAACGTAATTTTCGGTGTCGTCAGTCAGAGGAACTTGGGGATTGGAAGATGATTGAGATTGGAGCTGCTGAGATTGGAGGAAGGAGACGAAGTCTTGGAGGGGAAGAGAGGCATAGTAAGAACCGTACAATGAATTGGGATCGAGCTGGATGATGGTTTTATCGGCAGCTGAGGATGCATCAACTAGGATGGATTCCGGGAGTCCAGTGCCTATGATGATGAGGTCAAAATTCGATGGCTCAATGTGTAGATACGTGTTTCGCGCGTTTTTCGCTCGCTAACAATTAAAAAGGGAATCAGACGATTGTATAAGGGACAAACCTCTTGGAACAAAGTCCCAAAAATGGGTGTTTATTGAATATGAAGATTTACAGTTTGGACACGAACAAGATGCCTCCAAGGGACACAAGCACACAAATACGAAGGAATTGAAGTAATTAAAAATTAATCTAAGAAAAGTAAATTACATGTTCTCTGTTTTGAGAGTGAATTTTTGTCCGAGCTTTCTTCGTTGTCTTCTTCCTTCTTTTATACGGCCTGGGCAATTTTGATCGTTTAGCAACTGCTCGTAACTACCCACTTCTTTCATCATGGTCGGCTGGCTAAAACTACCGTGTGGAACTTCTATCACTACGCTCTCTTCACAACTGCTTGCCATCAACTTTCTCAAATCGTGGGGCGTAATTATGATGTGCTCAAACTGTCTTAGATCGCGATTTTGGATAACAACAAACTTTGGTCATTTCTTGGACTTTGGGTGACTCAGCATTCTTGGGCGACAATTGATCTTCTGCTCTGGGCGATTGTAGGGTGTTTCCTTCGCTCAATATCTGGGCGTCCTGCCGACTTGGGCGTCATCGTACCTTTGTCTTTTTGGGCTTTCCTCATATTTAATGATATTTCTAGTTGGGCTTTTACCATGATCTCTCTATCTGGACTTCTTCTTTAGAGCCATTTCCTCTCTTGGACCATTTGATTTGGGCTGCCTGTTTTGTGTGTCAACAATACGCAATTGTTTCGTCCATCAGAGAGAGAATTATTGGTCAAACGATGATACTTTTCAGGCAATTCTGAATTGTATAAATTCTTAACATGGACTCGTCTTCTTAACGTGGTTAGAACGAGAATTTTTAATCTAATTCATTTAGCCCCCATTTGGCCCATTAATATTATAATCTAATTCATTTAAGCTTACATTAAGCTTGATGGTTGAGTAATTGCATCTAAAATTCCAACTTTTTAGTAGATTGTTTAAGTAATGGAGGAGTTGGAAGATGAAGACGACGTTTTGGGGGGAAAAGATGAAGTGGAGTGGGGTGAAAAATAAAGTTTTAAAGGTTTGAGATGGTAGGTGGTACATAAAAAAAAAATGGGTATAATTTGTAAAAGAATAAAAAATTTGGATACTAAAATTGCAATTATTACTTTTTAATTTTGACATTTTTATTGTTTAACGGCAAATTTGACGGTAGACAATTTTTACGCACAAAAAGTTTCAAATATGGGGATTTTCTGCGATTTTCAATAAATATAGGAATATATCGCAAATGAAAACGTTTATATGGGTTTTCTGCTGTTAATCCTACAAAATCATGTATGATTGACCAAGTTTTAGTTGAATCGATCTATTGGTTTTTAAGCGGGGTTTAAATGAGTGTTTTTGATAGATAATCAACTTGGTTATTGAATTGGTTCTGGTTGAACGGACTAGATATGACCAATTTTATAACATTGCTATTCTCTTCTAAAGTAATTGATGAAATGCACGCAATAAATAACAAAGTATTACAGCTTCGGGCATTTTGTATTGAAACCAGGCCTTTTTCATTTAACAAGTACAAGCCCAATACGACTATTTCAATCAATAGTTGGCCCAACGTACCTGGGCTGCAAATGCCTGTTTTACATATGAAATGCATTTACTTACCCTAATTTGTTAACTAATACATTTAGGGATGGGATTGATCTCTAAAGAGAAGTCTTTCTTTCTAGTTAGTTATGAAATCACTTAGATTGAAAAGCGAGTTGATGATTATTTTTAGTCAAACGGCGGTTGAGGCCAAAGTCCTTCACTATACTTATCGAAGGGATGGATCAATATCATTTTTTACTTTCCCTCTCACGGGTGGGACCCACAAGTTGACTATAACGGTTATAATTTTGATTAAAATGTCACAAAAATTGCTCTCAAACACGCTCTAAGTAACAAGAAAGAAGATATTACTTCTATGGGGAAGTTTTTCAATTGCAAAAGAATATTCATATCCACATAAAGGATGAGTTTTGATATTTCCAAGATTTGAGGAATGTATTGAGGGAGAATTTGTTTTGATTAGATAATGTAAGATTGGTAAAAAAGATTTGACTTTTTAGAAATGTTCGAAAAGTATTATCAAATATTCAATATGGATCCATGATATCTAGTTTCGTGTGACGGTGTGAGGAACAGATTCTGGTCGGCACCTTTCTTGAACAATCACATAATTTTAGTTTTTCGACGATAGTTTTTTTAGATCAGTTTAGTAAGGCATTTGAAAAGTCAAGAATTGCTTCTAAAATTAAGAATATACTTTTAAACATGTCATAATAACTTTATGAAAATGCTTTGTTAAGAGTTTTTAGATAAAATTGGATCAAGACGACTTCTTTTTCAAAAAAGTTGTTATATAAAAAATAGAAACTTTACCAAATGAAACCTTGGATGTTTCATTACCTTCGTCAACTTTGAAAACAGATTCAAATTGGACGGACCTATCTATTTGCAAAGTAAAAATGTAGCCATTTTATTGTAAGCCCCATTTTGGTTTTGCAAAGAATCATATTTTAGTAGATTTTGATAAAAGATGATAAATTATATAATTGAAAATTAATAAAAATTATGGATCTCGTAAAATTGTAAAAAGGCATGAGTGCGGGAAGAATTAAACAATATGCATTGCTACAGTTGCGTGACGCGTAATTTTGAAATCCATTTTCAATGTATACTTATTTTTAATTTAATTTAAACATTGATAACTTACAAAATCAGGACTAATAGCAAAAAACTCCCTAAAAATGTTTCCATTTGCGATATACCCCTATATCTATTGAAAATCGCAAAAACCCCCTATTCGAAACATTTTGTGCGAAAAACCCCCCTACTGTCAAATTTGCCGTTAAAAATTGTAAAAATGTTAAAATTAAAAAGTAATAATCACAATTTTAGTATCCAATTTTTTTTATTTTTTTTTACAAATTATACCCAATTTTTTTTTTATGTACCATCCACGACCCCAAACATTTAAAACTTTATTTTTCACCCCTATCACACCCCATCTTCATCCCTAAAAACTTCATCTTCTAGCCCACCTCACCGTCAGAATTGATACCTCCAAGATAATGATGCAACACACATGTAAATTCTAAAGGGTTAATTTCACAAACGGTCACTGAAATTACGTCAAAATCACAAAACGATCACTGAAGTTTAAAAGTTGCATTAACGATCACTGAAGTATCATCTAGTTTCAGTAATAGTCACTGAAGGACCTTTTTCATTTTAATTGGAACTTAATGACCAAAATAGTTGAAGCTTAAATCTTGAGAACCTAAATCGCAAATTTAACATAAAACCCCCAAATCCTTCATCGCCGGTGCAACTCAGTAAATCTCTGTATTTTGCATAATTTCAGTTGAAGTGGTGGAGTTGAGAATGTAAGGCCAAAGCCAGACGGGAGAGGCAGTAAAGGACAGAGGTTTTGAGTGGAAGAATACGAAGAAGAACGGGAGGAGGATTGACCAGATGCGCCATCACCACCACCGTCACTTGCACTTCCGCCACCACATGAGGTTTGTAGATTAAGCCGAGCCCTCGACCCATATAGAATAACGGCTGCACGGTCATACGCTCGGCTGCATCCTCCGCCCTGGCGAACGTTCATAGCCACTGACGAGTTCTCTTTCTGGGCTCACGGATCTCAGCAACCCACTTGCCCCAGCTCCGCTGCCTTACTCCTCTATTCTTAAACTTTCCATTATCCGGCCCTCCTTTGCCTTTACCTTTCTTGTTGCTCTTGCTATTATCAACGCCGGTACTAGTGGCGCTGTCACTGCTAGTGGTAGCGTTGGAAATTGCAGAAATTGGGTGATCGCTAGTGACAATAATTTGAATTTTAGGGTTATTGGAATCTACACCGGCGCTCATATTTGGTTGATTTTGTCTCGTTGTGTGTTTACCCAATTAGTCTAGAGAGAGGACAGAAAAAGTAGTGTAGGGTGGTGGTTTGCAGCTGCGCAACGCTGTAAATGGTGGATGAGGGCGGTGCTCATAAGGACATTACTTGTTCATTTACACACACTTTGAATGCTCCCTTGCGAAGAAACATATAGAATTGTGGAGATAAAATATTTACAAAATCTGTTGTAGGATTATAACATGGCATTATATTTTCATTTTGTAATTTGTGTGATTTTATTCAAACGAAAGTATGCAAAATACATAGATTTACTGAGTTGCATTGGCGATGAAGGATTTGGGGGTTTTATGTTAAATTTGCAATTTAGGTTCTCAAGGTTCAAGCTTCAACTATTTTGGTCATTAAATTCCAATTAAAATGAAAAAGGTCATTCAGTGACCATTACTGAAACTAGATGATACTTCAGTGACCGTTAGTGCAACTTTTAAACTTCAGTGACCGTTTTGTGATTTTGACGTAACTTCAATGACCGTTTGTGAAATTAACCCAAATTCTAAAAGTCCAAACAAAAAGTATGCCAGAAGTTGACGATTAGAGTAATTCAATTAAAGGTGTTAGAACTGAAAAGAGAGAGGAAAACAAGAACTCTCACTAGCAGAGAGAAAAAAGGCCAAGAATCGATCTATACGATTTTATCTTTTGTGACAGTCCCAATTTAGTCAAAAATTCGACAAACGCACTCTCCAAGTCTTCCTCGAAAATTTGACTACTCTCGTCACTCTCACTCTCGCTCTCACTCAGGAAATGACCCTGTACCAACTTGAAAAACGTCATCAACTGATTCTTTTCAGTGAATGACAAACTTCGATCCTTAAATATAGCATTCTAGGCGTCAGGCACAGCACCCAAGTTTCCTTCTACGTCGCTCGTGAAGCTAGCACCTACGCTCATGAACTCCATATACTGATTTATGCTCGTTTTAATGATCAAATCAATCATAGGGTCGGAGCAGAGCAAAACTCGAGGTCCCGTCAAATCGAGGCAGAATTTTCTCGAATTATAGAGGGACTCGGAGGAGTAGGAGTTGATTTCTAGTGATGAGTAGAGGGGGCGAGCAATAAGAGGGACACAAACGTAATTTTCGGTATCATCAGTCTGAGGAACTTGGGGATTGGAAGATGATTGAGATTGGAGCTGCTGAGATTGGAGGAAGGAGACAAAGTCTTGGAGGGGAAGAGAGGCATAGTGAGAACCGTACAATGAATTGGGATCGAGCTGGATGATGGTTTTATCGGCAGCTGAGGATGCATCAACTAGGATGGATTCCGAGAGTCCAGTGCCTATGATGATGAGGTCAAAATTCGAAGGCTCAATGTGTAGATACGCAATCGTTTCGTCCATCAGAGAGAGAATTACTGGTCAAACGATGATACTTTTCAGTAGGGCTGTAAGCAAAAATCGCCAAATCGGAAAATCAAACCGAAACCGCAATTTCGAAATCGGCGGTTTGGTGCCACGTGGACCCGTCAACGAAATGACTTTGAACCAAACCAAACCGGTCAAAAACGGTTTGGTTTAGGTTTGAGAATTTTAATTATGGTTTGAAACCAAACCGAACCGGCAAAAAATATATAAAATAAAAAAAT